AAAAATAAAGAACACAAATCTTAAGTTGATTTTTAAAAAATTCTCTAGAAAATAATTTAAATATTATTTTAAGACACAAAAGGTGCATGTGTAAACTTTATAAAGATGTTCATTAATATAAAAATTATTAGCAAAGTTTTGTCATTCTCAGAACCTAATAAAACACTTCCTAATATTTCCTTGCTTTAATGCTTTTCATGATCACAAAGTCTATTCTCAATAGCAAACTTAATAGTTTCTATATAGCAATTGACATGCCAGAGAAAATAGTTTGTAGAGGTGTTTGAAAGTGACAGAGGACTTGCTATGTCCTCTAGTTTGGCAATGATCCAACTATATTTTTAAGTTTAAAAAAACTTTTTATAATAAATGGATAATCTCTCCATTGAAGATATTATTCCAAATAGTTATATGAAAGTAATTAAACAAATCAGAAAACTGCCAATTAAATATGATAATGAAAAACATTATTGTTATATAAATTATAATTTTTTTACATTTTAAAATAAATTAACCTAATTTTACTGTAAAAGTAGATGATATATTTTAAAATTTTTAGATTTTTATATACTTTGAAAAGACTATTAAATATCCATATTTTATTAAAAAGTTTGATTTTTATACCTAACAAAATTATAATTAGCAATATTAAAGAAGTTAGAGCTAAATATGAGGAGAAGAATGAATTTATAAAAACTTACATAAACACTGTGTGAAAGTCTGTTTTTAAATAAAGAATCTTCAAATACCGGATTAAAATACAAATATAATCCTTCATCAAACCTTTTAACCGGTATTAAACAAGAGTAAAATTACATGCAAATGTTTTCGGATCCCTCCCTGAGTCCTTTCTCAAGCAACTATTCTTCTTTAAAATTCGTTAGAATGAAGACCAGTAGAAAGAACTTCTTCAAAACTGAGATATTCGAAAAAATTACTTCTTCCGAACCACATTTCAAAAGTCGAAATTCAAAAATCAATGTGAATCACGTGCATTCCAGTATTCCGAAATGTGATGCTCGTCTTTCTTAAAAAGGTTTTTTATGGATTTTTACATTAACAAAAAATAAATAAATAAAGAAAATAAATAATAGCATCTCAGCAAGTATGATGTTTTAATACCCTATTTACTATACGTATTTATTAATGTGAATCCTCTTTCTGGAGTAGGGCCTGCCATGCTAGGGACAGGGTAATCTCATCCCTCGAGTTAATAGGTGCAGAAGTGTTGTAAGCTTTGCAAATTTCCATTTGTTCCAACCATTTGAGGTGGTCCGTAAACGGTGTGGTAATGAGGAGTTTGGCGTTGTTGAAGTTTGCCGAAATCTCCGGGTCTGACGCATTTATGAATAACGACGTAGAATCCCTTTTTGTGGAGGATGTCCCGTCGGTGTTCAGTCCATCTGACACCAATAGCCCGTTTAGTAGCGCCAATGTAGACCAGTTTCCTCTCAAATCTATGGTCCATGAGTGGGATAGCGTATACCCCTGGTAGCTTATACTGGTTAGGTTTATCTTTTTCATTGCGTAGAAGCTTAAACATAGACGGGTAAGATCTTCTGTATGCTAATACAGAATTGTCTATGTTTTTTAGCTATTTTTTGTTTTTTAGCTATTTTTTGATACAGGGATGTTAGGAACGGGTTGTATGTGACTGGAACAAGTCAGTGGTCTTGTTCTACACTGTTCTGTGGAGGAGTAGGTGGGAGGCCGTTGGTGAATTGTTGTGCTAATTTATGGTCCATGGTGTTGAATCTATGTTGACTAGCGATGTTATGCAAATAGTTCAATTCTTGAACTAAAGTATCCTGTGTTGAGCAATGGGTGTAGGCCCTCTTAACCAATGCTCTAAATGCTGCCATTTTATATCTGAACAGATCACAGGAGTTCGCTGGGATATACGTTGGGAGGTGACAAGATTTGTGGTAGACAGATGTGTATATGGTGTCTCTTCCAAATGCAATGTTTAAGTCAAGAAAATATACCTCGGATTCACTATGTTGCTCAAGTTCTATGGTAAGGCCATACGGATTGTCGTTCATCCTATTCACAAAGAGGGTAATGTTAGGTTCGTGCCTCCATAAAATAATGATGTCATCTATGTATCGCTTGTACCATATGATGTCGTGGCTGAATCTCGGAATTATTTTATTTTCCAGCTGTCTGATTACCAGTTTTACTCTTGTTTAATACCGGTTAAAGGGTTTGATGAAGGATTATATTTGTAGTCTGTTTTTAAACATGTTCTATAAATTAAAATCATAAAATCATTATTCTTAAAAATGAATAATACTCTGAGATCAGAAATTGCTGGTGATCTTAGAAGCAATTTAAAACAATTAAATATTGAACAATGAGAAGATTTTAAAAACAATTATTTAATTAAATCAAATAGACACCCACAACTGCTGTAAATAATTTATATAATCTAGCTATACGAGGGCTGTTCGAAAAGTTTGCGGCCTCAAATAGAACAACAAACAAAATAATGTTAAAACTTTTTTTATTTTTCAATGTAGTCTCCTTTGTTAGCAATGCACTTATTCCAGCGATGTTCTAGCTTTTTTATGCCATTACAATAGGTCGATTTGTCAAGGTGTGCAAAATACTCGTTTACTTCAGAGATGACTTTGTCATTTGAGTGGAATCTCTTTCCAACCAAGAATTATTTTAAATTTGGAAAAAGGTGGAAGTCACTGGGGGCCAAATCAGGTGAGTACGGTGAATGTGGAACTAATTGGAATTCTAAGTTCGTTTATTTTTTGTTCAGTGATTCTGACATTATCATGGTGAAACAGAACCTTCTTCTTCAAGTGTGGTCTCTTCAATTTCTTTCTTCAGTTTTTCCAAAAGTATACAGTAATAGACAGCATTGATGGTCTTTCCCCTTTACAGGTAGTCAATAAAGATGATTCCTTTAGCATCCCCAAAAAACCGAGGCCATCACTTTCCCCACTGATGGAACTGTTTTTGCCTTCTTTGGTGGTGGCGAACTGTGGTGTTTCCATTGCTTCGACTGTTCTTTTGTTTCAGGAGTGTAGTAATAAATCTACGTTTTGTCAGTAGTCACAAACCGATGCAAGAAATCCCGTGGGTTTTTCTTGTAGAAGTCCAAACACTTCTTTGACATCAAAGTGTGAACACGTCTTTGCTCAGTGGTCAGCAGATGCGGCACCCAACTTGCTGAGACCTTCGTCATACCCAAATTTTCAGTTAGATGTGGTGCACTCGGTCGACAGAGATGCCTGTTGTCTCAGCTATCTCACGCATTTTCAAATGGCGATCTGCTAACACCAAATCGTAAACTTTGTCAATATTTTTTTCAGTGACAGCAGTTGACGGCCGTCCACTGCGAGGGTCATGTTTCACACTCTCTCTGCCAGATTTAAAAAGGGCTGTCCATTTTTTCACAGTGGTTTACGAAGGAGCAGACTCTCCCAAAACTTCATCCATGTCAGCTTTGATTTGAGATGCAGTCAACCCTTTTTTCGTCAGGTATTTTATGACCGCACGAGTCTCCGTCTTCTCCGTTTTTGACAAAGCATGTGTACATTGACTATCTGCTAAGCTGTCGTGGCAAAACTTTACAACAAATCAAGCGGAAATTGGTATCGTATCTTTAGCAAGGATGGCTGAATTATTCCCGCCAAAAATTAAACTGATCACAGCGCCGCATATAGGCAAGGTCGCGAACTTTTCGAACAGCCCTTGTAATTTAGAAATCTGAATATACTGAATACTGAAACTTATATATACTGGAAGAGATCAGACAAGCGGTCTGGGTAGCATAACTGGCAACATGTCCGCACAGTAAGTGAGAGTTGTGAGTTAGAGTCCCACTTTGGGCCGATTCTTTTCTTCCAGTTTAATCTAAATTATTTAATTAAATATTATAATTATTAATTTTAATACAAGATGGCACCTAACACCTCCCTCCAGTGTCAAATTCATTCGTAATTCTTAATTTTTATTTCCAAATTATAGCCCAATTATTTACAGCAGTTGTGGTTTCTATTTGTTATGCATCNGTGGTTTACGAAGGAGCAGACTCTCCCAAAACTTCATCCATGTCAGCTTTGATTTGAGATGCGGTCAACCCTTTTTTCGTCAGGTATTTTATGACCGCACGAGTCTCCGTCTTCTCCATTTTTGACAAAGCATGTGCACATTGACAATCTGCTAAGCTGTCGTGGCAAAACTTTACGACAAATCAAGCGGAAATTGGTATCGTATCTTTAGCATGGATGGCTGAATTATTTCCGCCAAAAATTAAATTGATCGCAGCGCCGCATATAGGCAAGGCCGCGAACTTTTCGAACAGCCCTCGTATGCAGAATCACAACTGTTGCCTAATGCAATGGGCAATGGAGTTGAGCAAATATGATCTAACTTTGGCTCATATAAAAGGAAAAGAGAACGTGGTTGCGGATTTTCTCTCAAGGGCTCACAGTGATGTGATTACAAATAATGTGACATCAAATCAGTCTAGACCTGTGAAAGTGATTGACAAAATCATAACAGAGTCTCAGGACACTAATAAAATTTTTGGCCCCATTAAAAACAAAATTCTTGGGATAGAGATCAAATGACATGGACATGCCTATAGAGAATTTCGATATTATCGACAATGAACTTGTGACAATTAACCAAGTAGATGATGACTGTTGAATGATTAGATGATGTGTTGGTGAAAGTGCAGTCAATCAAATTATTTTGACACATCATTGTCACCCCCTTGCTGGTCATAGGGGAATCAGAAAAAAATTTGCTGCAGTTAAATGCTATTTCTACTTTCTGAAAATATGGAAAAGGATAGAGGAATTTGTTAGTGTGTGAAAGGTGTACCAGCATTATAATCGTCACAAAGGAAAAGCCCCTAGTTAGGATTTCAAAACAGTGTTGGGCCCTATGGTCGAAGTCTTTGTTGATCTTATAGGACCACTCCCAGTAACGGAATGATCAAACTGCAATATACTCTTCTTCATTGATTTATTTTCAAGATATGCTGAATCCATGGCCATCTCCTCCCAAGATGCAAACACAATCGCCAAGGTGTTCTTTTGCAATTTCGTCTGCCGATTCGGGTGCCCTGACCGTACTAATATCAGATCAAGGATCGAATTTGACATCTAGTAGGATGGAGGAAGTGTGCCAAATGTTAGAGGTCAAACGAAGAGTGATGACAGCATACCATCCCACATCTAATGGCCTCATCAAACGGTTTAGTAAAACAATTGTTGAAATTATCACCCGCATATCAGATATGGATAATTGTAATTGGGATACCCACCTCCCAGCATCCATGTTTGTATATAGAAACACTGTAAATTCAGCCACAGGTGAGACGCCCAATTTTTTAATTTACAATTTTGATCCCCACTTCCCTAATGGTGACAAGATAAGAGTCAAGTTGAACCAAAACATAGAAAGTTACCGCTCAGATCTTGTGGAGAGACTTGTACACAAAATACCGCATGCTGTAAATGATGAGAGCAAAAGAATGAGTCAGGAATATTGGAATAGACACCACTCTCTCCGAAAATTTGAAATAGGAGAATTAGTATGGTAGCACGACCTCTTCATGATCCTACCAAACAAAAATTCTCTGCAAAGTATTTGGGGCCTTTTCATATAACTGATAGGATAAACAAAGTGAATGTAAGAATAAGGGAATGTAAGGATGGGGATGACCAGACAGTCCACATTGACTGGCTCAAGAGGTATGTTGGTCCCAAGAACAAATTGGCTAATCTTAGAAAAAAAGAAATACCGTACACCCTGAAAATTGCCAGCCAGAGCCGATGAGATACAAGATAATGAAGAAGAGGAGTAAATCAAATGTAGGGCATATAGACAAAGGGAAACTGTTCTACCAGAAAATGGTGAGAATCATAAGGATCAAGGTGAGAGGATACCACAAACTGAGGATAGTTTGAGTAGCTGGTACAACTTGAGAAGGCGCCATTTCGACATCCATGCATTGAGTTGTGGGGACTACAACTAGATATTAAACTTTGTAAAGACACAAAATGTAGCATATTGGTGTACTCAACATTACCCCCCCTCATAGTGTAAAAGTTTTCTTTTTTAAAAAATTGTATAAATACAAAACGACATATTCACAAAGGTAAAAACCTTGCTTCTGTCTATCTTTCTGCCGTTTTACTATTTTTACTTAAAAGTTTTCTGTTTGTTGTAAAATTTTTAAAATGGAAGGAGGAGGGAGATATGTGGTCTGAAGACTAAGTGTTCTGTTGCGTAATCAGCCCCTTGGGTGGGCTAGAGTAAAGGATGGGCATTCTCGAGGACAACTGAAAAACCCAGATCAAGGAGAGAGAGAGAGGGGTATTGTGCATGCTCAATGAAGGAAATGGAACTTTTTTGGGGAATAAAGAAAAAGGAGAGAAGACATGTAGATGAGAGAAAGTAACGAGTTTCTTTTTTGCATGTTGTTTCTTTTGTTTTAGTGTGTGTTATAGCAAATGGACAGAAAAGTGATCAGAAGGACTAATGATGTAACGTGTTATCTTGGATCATTTGCATGAGCATATCTCTTATGGCACAAAATACCGATGGGAGATTGATGGAAAGGATCGGCAGACCTAGTTAACTTCCTTAAATAGATATTGACACCTCCGAAATTCATAACTGTCTTGGACTTCAAATCTTTATATCCTTCCATCAATCTCCCATCGGTATTTTGTGCCGTAAGAGATATGCTCATGCAGGACTAAAATAAACTAAGTTCCTTGCATTGGGGTCAGAATGAATAAATCACACACACTGACTCCAATGCAAGGAACTTATTTCTTTGAAGTTTGTTTTGTTCCTGCACCGGGAATATTCTAAAGATCAAGTACTTCCCCACAACATATAAAACTAGAAGAAAATGTGTAAATTTATATTTTAGATTATAAATCATAAAGGTTTATTCATATTTTACAATACTTTTATCTTTTAATGCAATTTCTAATTTAAAGAAGTCAGAAAACAAAACAAATTTTTTTAAAACCGGTACACAAAATATTTACTGTTCTAGCATCAGTTTACATTCAAACAAACCACAATATATTGTATTAATGACTTGTGCCATCAAAGTTCCTTCAAATTTTTAAATTTTTTTAAAATTAACAAAAGTTTTTCAATAGAGATAAATAAATATGCAAATAAAGTTATTTATGTAAAAATAGTAGTAGTATTGAATGACTCACACTGATGTCTGAACCTTATTTTTAACTCTTCAGACTCCAAATCCACAAGCTGGGCTAGCAAGATCTTGTATGGAACCTTGGGTTATTCAAAAATTTGGAAAGAAGGTCCATCTATTTGGCTTTTTTTTTTGAAGAAATGAAATATGTAGAATGTTTCTTTATTAACAAAAACAATCTTACTTTCATTAACAGAAAATAAATCTAAGATTAATTTATAGGAGGTAGGAACCACTACACACAACTAAGTTTTCTTTGGTTCTGGGGAAATTTTCCAGCTTTCCCTTATTGACAGACTTGTGAATGAGTCAAAAGATATTTCTTTCATTTTATGCACATACTAGCTGTTAACCGCAACTTTGCCCATGCAGATTTAGCAAGAAAACACCATTTATATTCAGTATTTCAACAACTGTAGTAATTGTAATACAACACCTACCGCTGAGAATCAAATGAACTGTTTTCAATTTGATCAATTTTCTGGAACATTTACAATTGTTCTATAATCGAACCAATATGCAATAACAAATTCAAATTTAAAACAACATTTGGTTAAAAAAATCGAAATATATAAAAATTTTTATTTATAACATATGAAATGTTATCAATTTAATACACCCAAGTATTCAAAAAACACAAAAGTCAATGAAGACTAAATGTAGTTAAAAACAAAAAAAAATCACATCTAAAATAGTACAGTAGAAGCCTTTCTTCAGGTTAAGCCTTAATGCTCTCCCTCTCCTCCGCAGAGGAATTTCGAAATATCCCTTCTTAGTGTGCGCTTTCATGACATACCCTGTGTACCAAATTTCACTTCTAGGTTCAGGAGTTTGCTCTGGGCGATGATGAATCAGTCAGTCAGTCAGAACAAGTAATTTTATATATTTAGATTAATAATGGTAAAAGTCCATAATTCATACTTTACATGTTTTTTCTTAATTTTGCTTTCTTACAAGACCACATTAGAAACATGTCCAAAACAGATAGAACTGTTTGGGGTAAAATGTATAAAAAGAGGTATATGAATTCTAAACTTTTACCAAAACATTTATCATGATTAAATTATTTTGTATATAGACTTCTAAAAAAGATTTCAATATTTTGTTTTATGACTATATTTAAGCATAGTGGAGCCATCAACATTTACAATTAATTAGGAGATAACTTTAAATACTATCTAATTAAATCATTACATATTATTAAGAAGATTTTAGTGAAGAAAGCTGAGCATAATGCTTTCTTCAAATTTTGAAAATATTTGAACTTGTGCAGGAGATTTTAATCTTAGAAATATACTAAAATAGTATTTAGTAAATTCTTAATAATATATATAATCTGTTACCTGTTGTTTTCTTGTAAAATTTAAAAAAAAGTTATTTAAATATTGATATATCTTATATCTTACAATATAGATTTTTTTATGCTCTTTTCTATTGATTATCTTACATTGCATTAGTATAACATTCTTTTATTTATGAAATGAATTTCATTGCAATGACACCCTGAGCAAGAGCAAAAGCTGTTCATCAGCATTGTAAACAACCAGAAGAAACCACATCGTGATCTGAGTTTTTAAGCCAGAAAAATGAAACAAATGAAAAATTGTTGAATCATGGAACAAATAAAGCCAAATCAAATTCCACAGTAAAGAAGAAATTTATTAATAAAGAAGAAAAAAAGTTTAAAATCATTAAAAAAGAAAAAATGTGAAGAGTCACTTGAAAATGTACAAATTGAATTACATGAATATAATTCAAAATCAAAGAATAAAAAGAATATGAAAAATAAAAATATGAAAACTCTTTCAAATGAATTTACAACAGAATCCATTGAAGATAAAGATGAATTTTAAAAATCTGAATTTAATCAAGACACTCAAATTACACCACCAGCTAAAGATGAGGAGAAAAAGTTACTGAAAAAAATAAACAATTACAAGAACTTAGGGGGGCTTGTCCTGACCACCAAAGCTGCTGATGACTTACTACCCACTTCACTAACTTGTAGAAAGCTTGTGTATTGGCTGCCTCTGGCTAACTGAAATTGTTAATAAATTGTGTCTATTTCAGTCCTTTTTTTATCTTCTGAAGAAATACTAAATACTGACCAATATGAAATGTTCATTGGTAAAACATGGAATACCACCATTAAACCATACTAAACTGGGAAGTAAAAAAAGACCAACCAATTTCAACCAACTCCAAACTTATAACAGACTTCAACTCACATGCAGATAAAGACTCACAAGAATCTTCTTCAGCTGCTATTGACTCTTATTTTGATATAATATTACAAAGCCCACAGAAACCTCCAGGCGAGTTAAACGTATTTTGTTCTATTTCACAGACTAATTCCAGCATCTCGCAAGACATTCCAACAACAGTTTTACGGAATGAAATCTCTGAACTAATAAACACCTCCAATGATAAACTCTTTAATCAAATGACTTCCATAAAAGAAGACCTGGATCTTATTCATGAAGGTATTCGTGAAACTAAAGAACAATATCAAAAAATGAAAGAACAAATTAATAATTTAAAACATCAAATTGATAACTTAAAAACAAAAAAATAAATTATGCAATATAAAATGGACACTTTAGTGTTAATGAGCTTCATAACAACATAATACTGTATAATTATCCCAATTCGAAAAATATCTCCAAACCAGAAATTTGTTATTTTATTAACTCATCACTAAATTTACAAAATGTATCACAGAAAGACATTTTAGAAATAACTAAACTAACCAAATCCAGCTATAAAATTAACTCTTAAAACTAATCAAATCAGAGACCACTTTTTTACTGCTTTTATAAAAAAAGAAACAACAAAACCTGTTAGAAGAATATGCAGATTGCACCAGACTTAAAGGATTCACAAACTAGACAAAAATACCTACTCATCTTTATATGAAATAAGAAAACAAAATCATCAAATAAAACTACATAATGACACTATCAACAGACAGAGATAGAATAACATTTAGTATAAGTATGGGGAAGCTAGTTTATGTGGAGACCTTCCTGTCGTTTTCTCTATCAATGGTAACAACAAGTTGATACTCTTTGAAACAAAACAAAACTTATCAAGAAAAAACTTACCATAAACAATCAATCACTTGATTATGAATTGGAACAGTCAAGGTCTCAAAAAACAAATTACCACTACTCTGCTACCTTCAATCAAAGTCTAAATCAGATAGTCGGTATAACCGAAAACGTGGATAACATCCAGCCTGTTTTATAAATCAAATTTTTTCAACAAATTTATAATAGAAACTGTACTGGCGAGCAAGTCATTGGGCCCAGAATGTCCAAGTGGTAGCCTATGTATTTTAATTAAAAAGGACCTTGGTAAAATAATCCAAGTTAAAAAATCTGATAACTCCATACTATTGTTAATCTCTATGGATAAACCCATACTTGGAAATATAAATAACAAATTAATGACAGTCATGATTGCCTACATTCCCCCTGAATACTTAGTAAAATTACAATACTATTCTTTGACAATATGTCTTCATTAAAAAGATCTCATTCACCAGTTAATGAAAGTCCTAAAGAAGAAAAGAAAATGAAAGTCGAAGAAGAAACATCAATTTAAGAAAGACATTAGCCATCGTAATTAAAACATTTGTTACTTTAATTCTGCACAAAATATCCTATTTGCAGTTTCAAGACTGCACGGTAAGATATCATCACGTAAATTTCCTAGAAAACATCCGACCGATGTATATGTACTGTACCTGACATATTTTAGATTCATCACTTCGATGTGCGAATTCGTGCGAATTCATGCTTAATAATGTGTTTGAGGTGTTTATAATTATATAAGAGTCATTGTTTGTATCGTATTATTCTCAAATGCATTTTTTCTAGTTATAATTTGTACATTACAGTATCACCTCATATGCGCTATTGGGCTTGGAACTTCTATACAAATCGATCGCTTCTTTATAGAAGCCGAAATTCAATTTACAATACTATTCTATTCTGATAAAAGACAAGATGGGCTATCTGTGATTTAGTGGACTTTACTCCTGTATGAATAGGAAGGAAGAGTAAAAGAAGTAAGAGTTAGAGAGAAGAGGAAATAAAGGAAGATAGGAAAGTGTGAAATAAGCAACCATAAGGTCCCCACAGGATCCCATGGGCACCCACATCGCCTTAATTAAAACAATATTTACAGAGGAATACAAATAATTAACAGTAACATTTTTACGTACTGATGCAATTAACAGAAGGTTGCACATCTTTTGCATCAAAGAATATACAAACATATTAATGGATAAATAAATAATAAACAAACACAATGGGTAAATACAGTTTTGGTTACATTAGTAAACAGTAAATTTTTGCTTACATAATAGGAATTTGCATGGTTGGTTGAATAATTTTATACATATTTACAGTTTTAACAATTTAGAAAAGTATGCAATACTTATTGCATTAATGAAAATTAAATATACAACAGGTATAATTTTAAAGTTATACATTAAGTAATCAGTTGACAAGGAATTTTTGATGTAATCTTACAGATTGAATTCCATAAAGTTTTAACAAGAAAATTTTGACAAGATAAATTATAACTTAATAATTACACTATGTTATTCGTAACACAGTTGAATTTATATTGGATTCACTACATATAACAGTCCTTATTTTTAACATTTTTCTTTAATCTTCATCGTTTGTGGAGGAGTTGTAGTTATCGTCGTCATTACTGTCACTAGTTTCTGTTGTATCTGTGTTGAGTATATTTAAATTCAGGTCACCAAACTGAGGTACTAATGCACCAGTGTCCTGTATAAACTTCTCAAATGCTTTAAAAAGTTTGTTATTCATTATAAGTTTGTTCTCTTTTGGCAGCCAGTTTTTCCCTTCTGTGATACATATCTCTCTTGAAATTTTCTCTGAGGGTTGTATATTTGGTGCATTCAAAGAGGAAGTGATGAACGGTATCTTCGTTGTTCGTGTTTGCGTCGCAATGGTTGTAGTCTCTCTTCTTGAAATGGCGCAAATATGAGTTAAAACATCCATGCCCTGTCAGGCATTGTGTTGTTTGGAACGATGGTTTGAATATTCTGTTTTTCTGTCTGTCCTCGATGGATGGGAAGAATTTGAAGCACAACCTTCCAGTGGGTGATTCTTCCCACTCTGTTTGCCATAAAGCACAAATTTGTTGGTTGATGTACTTAGTTATTGAGCTGATAGGAAGCCGCCAGTATGTTATTTTAGTTTGTGCAATTGAGGCTTTTTTCGCCAATTTATCAGCTAACTCGTTTCCTGCATGGCCAGCGTGACCGGGTATCCAATTGAAGGAGATTTTTAGTTGTTTTCCTAATTTTGTTGCCAAATTTATGAGTTCTTTAGCTAGGGCTGATTTGTTATTTTCTCTTCTTAGTATATGTAGAGCAGCTCTACTATCGGTAAAGACAAGTAGTTCTTTATAGGTTGTGTGAGAGAGCTGACTGATGTAAGTGAGGGCTTTAAATATACCCCATAATTCTGCTTGAGTAATTGAGCAATGATCTGCAAGCTTGAACGCTGCCTGGTATAAAGTTCTTCCTTCACTGTTCTTGACTACCACACCTGATCCTACACCATTTTCTCCCTTTGACCCATCAGTAAAGGCTATCAATTGTCTTTTTTTCTTATTTTCTGTTAATTCTTTGAAGTCTAAGGAAATTTCATATGGGTGAGTTGCTTTTGGGTCAGTCATAAAATTAAATTCATTTGGTATATTGTCGATATTGTTGTGGACAATGTGTGACTTAAAGTTCATATTTTCTGGTGGTANGGTTAATGTCCAGATACGTGGACCGTCATGGCGGCACTTCCTGTTTCAGCCTCGAAACCAGACGGTTTGCAGACGACGTGTCACGTGACGACGCGAGCGAACGGCGGCGGCTGTCATGGCGCCTCATCGCTGATTCCAGCAAAGAAAAGGAAACAGTGGGGACGCACATTCTAACCTAACCTAACCTATTCTAATAATATAATTGGTAATAATTATGCTAATTTATTAGAATAGGTTAGGTTAGGTTAGAACGTGCGTCGGTGCGTCACGTGACACGTCGTCTGCAAACCGTCTGGTTTCGAGGCTGAAACAGGAAGTGCCGCCATGACGGTCCACGTATCTGGACATTAACCGTAACAAATTTTTTGTAAAAACAGGTTGTTTTATGCGTTAGAAATATTTTTTCCCTTGAACTTGAATAGGATAAATTTCCACATTCGCCATTTTGTTTATGCGCACTCGCAGGTGGCAAACAAGATGGCGACCGGAAACTCGGTCATTCGGACTACCTAGGTACAGTACTTTACCCCCGAATCCCTTTCCTTCAAACCCCACGATTTTACGCGTTTCATCATCTCTGTGCGAAAGGGTAAAATGGTCTACCTGGGTCTATGACTGCCGGCAATTCTCCATAGGTTACTATATCGCTGCCTCGTCGTGTTCCGGCTCCTGGATTCCTTTGCGTCATAGTTCAGTCTTCTTGATGAAGATCTTTTCCGGCTTGCAGAGTCATCCTCCGGTGCAGTGCATAACCCAAATCTTGTCGACTGTGCCAGTAAAGTTAAAATTTACAACAGCTTCACAACTGGTGACCGTTCGATACGGCAATAACACAATGAAAAGTTCAAATAGTTCGTATCTCCCGTACTTGCCCGTCAAGAAGACACCTTACTATGAGCTGTTGGCTAGCAGTAACATTTCTGCTATATTAGAACTCAGTCAGCGAGACGGATCCAACTCGAATTTTCCCGCTTCCACGCCGACAGGCGTTGGCCGACCAATTAGCAGCCATGCTAGTCCAGGTCCGCCACATGGAGTGATGTTTCGCCAACCGTCTCTTCCTTGAGATGCATGCGCCACCAATTCAAATGTAGCCAATCGTGGTCTTCCTCGGCCAAGGTCCTACCGTGTTTCCCCGAACATAAGACATCCTCTGAAAATAAGACCTAGCAGAGGGTTTTGCTGAATTGCTAAATATAAGGCCTCCCCCCGAAAGTAAGACCTAGCAAAGTTATTTTTTTACTCGTAACGGTCATCGACAGATGGTTGAAAGTGGCCGTTGACTTTTTGAAAGTACAGCCACTGATTGACCAGCAGACAATCACTCCACGCGGCATAATTTGCATAAGACTATGGCTTGGGAATCACATATTTGCATAACGTTACGGCTGGTGATCGCTAATTGGTCGGCTGGGAACACGCCACATTACATTTGCATAGTGCTACGGTTCAGTAAGCACTAATTGGTTGTCGAGCCCGATGTCGACGCTATGGAAAGGTTAAGTTGAAGTGAGAGTGGAAAGTCCACTTCAGCATGGGAACTTTGTAATTTCACTTCGGTTTTATTTAAGTTCAGTTCGACACGACCGGATATACATCACTCACATCACTCTCGTTTAAGTTCGAGTTGGGAGTTTTTTGTTCAACAATAAATGTGAATTCTTCTTCATGGAAAATAAGACATCTCCTGAAAATAAAACCTAGCGCATCTTTAAGAGCAAAAATTAATATAAGACACTGTCTTATTTTCGGGGAAACGCGGTAGGATATAAGGTTGCCTCATAGATAAGAAACGCTTCTCATTGGTTGCTTATTTGACGTCACTCGTAGTCCAAAACAAAACATCTTAATACGTTATGGTAAAAGCATTACAGATCAGAGGCTTGTTGCTTTAATTACATGCTAATATTTGATTAATTACGATTCATACTTAATTAAATATAAATAAAAATGGATTATAAATAAGAAAAATTTGGAATATTGATGAAATCTTCGTAATTTCTACGTGTAAAGTTGAAATTAAAATGCGTTTTTCTACTGTGTAAATGAAATCGATTTTATGATATTATAAAGTACCGAAAACGATATTATTTACTCATACATATACAAAAGTAACTTTGTCAAAAGAACAGTTTTCTATTTTATAAACATATTTTTAATATCAATATATACAAATTAAGTGTTACATAGAAACATAATTAAAAGAAGTCAAGTACAAAATTTTCTATTGTTACAGTTTTTAAAATTTAAAGTTCATTTTAATTTAAAATTAAGATTCTCTAAAGTTTTGCATTTAAGAGATCCTTCTGGTTTATCCTGTTTATTTACATCTAAAAATTTTCTTGTCAGATTTTTTTTTCTTTGTTTTTTAATAAACGATTCCTTCTTTGATTCGACCGATTAATATTTTCATTTTCTATATTTCTTAAATTTACTGTCGGTAGTGAAGTTTTCTTTTGGTTTTGCCAATAAACCTAATAACTCTGCTTTTAAATTTCTCTCAAAAAATCATCTTCTGTGAAATGATCAGAGAGAGCATGACAAGAATCAGGATTGAATTTGTCTTTTCTTTTACAATTATGAATCCATTTTCTTATTATTGGATCTTTAGGAAATCTAAAATAACCACCTTTCCTGTTTATGGTAGCTGTTATTACAAGTTGCAACAGCACATTGTTCCTGGCATCTAAAAATAATAATAATAAAATTTAGCTATTTTTTTATTTTCCCAAATATATCTAATCAAGATATAATATTCTGAAATAGAAAAAGTAGTTTAATAAAAAGTAAAATACATCTGGATACGAGTCCAATTTTGCTTGCCATGTTCAATCACCAGGAACAACTATTTCCATTGCAGACATTTCTTTAGAGGCTATGCCTCTGCACAAATATGCAAAACAGTTTAAAATGTCCTCAGGTGACAATGCAACGGAAATAGTTGAAAATGGTGATTGGACATGGCAAGCAAAATTGGACTCGTATCCGGATGTATTTTACTTTTTATTAAATTGTAATTCTGCCAGCCCTTTTCTACAAAGAAAAAGTAGTATTAACACTTCTTACATAAAAATTATTATACAATAAATTTATACTATGTATAAAACATTTTTATATTTTGCATTACTATGCATTTTGCGTAAATATGCATATTTTAAGAAAGTTATATTAATTAATAATAAACAATATTTCTTTTTTACATTTAAAGTTATTTGAAAAGTGTTATCGGCCAGCTTATTATTTGTAGTCGTCATTTCATCGTGCAGATATTATTTTTATACACGTAGAATACTATTCTTACTATTTTAAAATATTTTAGTAATAAATATATTTCATCTATAATCATATTCTGTAATTTCTACAGAAAGAAGTTTAAAAATTACAACAGAATATCAAAAGGCTAGGAACAGTTTTGTTACTTCCGTACAAGTTTTATCGATATAATTATCATAATTATGTTTATTAATAGTAATAACGATAGATATATTTACTTTCGAAGATTAAATGTCTAAAAACTCTCAACAAAGTAACAAAAATAGTGAAATTCCAAAATTTTCTCCCCTCGCTAACTGTTGTCAGACTCGTTCACGGCTCGACTACAGATGACGTCTATCCGGAATCTGGCAAAAGTGACTAAACCAGCTGTATGAAGTAACCTTATATCAGGGTGTCTGTTTATATTCTAGGACTAGGACCTTGACCTCATGCGGCCTTTTAGCCACTTCCTGCCTGATTCCGGATATACGTCATCCGTATATCAAACGATTGCTTTACAACAGTTAGGGAGTGAAGAAAATTTTGGAATTTCAATATTTTTAACTTTGTTAAGCTTTTTTAGACTCTTAATTTTCGAAGATAATTATGTTTAATAGTGGTAATAACAATATATATATTTATGTTGATAATTAGAGAAGTTGAGGCGCACGTATTCAGCCCAAAACGTGAACGGCGGACGGACGAGCGCCGCCATCTGGTAATTCGATAATGGCGTTTGCTACGTTTAGAATGGCGAGTAGAAGATCGGTTAAACTTCTTCACTTTTTGTGTTTGGGGTTAAAATTGAAGTTATGACCTATTTTATTAAAATAATGATTATTTAAGCATTTATGAATAATATTGTAAAGAAACACGATTTTAATCCAGAAATTATTTAATTATTCAATTTTTTAGCAAGTGATGTGAAGTGCCTATAGAATTTACATATATTTGTCGGTTAATGTTATTTATGGTTCCAAAATGGCCGCGCTTCCGACTGTTCGTGGTCCAGATGGACTCCTCCCGGAGGGAAACCGCAGAGTGCCAAACGTCACTAGTTATCGATTCATAGTACAGTAGAGCCTCGATTATCCGACCCAATTGGGGACTGGGGTTGGTCGGATAATTGAAAAGTCGGATAACCGAAAAGTATGAAAAAATCCATTATTAGTGTAGTATATTATTATATCCCATGTAATTAGTATATTAGTATATCGCTATTAACCTACTTCGCGTTGAATTTTCATCGATGTTAAGCCTAACAAAAATTTTTTAAAATAATAATCGTCGCTATTGTATCGTTAAAAATTAGAAAATTAAGCCTCGTTTAAATACTGGCTCCCTTTCATGGTCGAATGAGTGTTGCCAGCTAAAACACGTAAAAATAATATTAAAGTAGCCAAGACATAGCCAAATATTGTAGCGCCACATCACTAGCGGACATTTGAAATTTGCTGACTAGGACGGTCAGTTAACCGAGGTGTCGGTTAATCGGGGGTCGGATAATCGAGGCTCTACTGTAGTTCTTGAGCAAAATAAATAAATAAAAAAGGAAACGTCTAATAAAAATGTAGCTAACAGATGCGAAACGAACCTAACCAAAGCGCCGCCATTTTGGAACCATAGGTAACATTAACATATTTGTCTTCATAATAGTTTATCTTAAGGTAGGTTTGTTCTTCCACGGCATCTTCTACCATCAACAGCGTAATACGTTTGTAAATTTTCTAAAAATTAATTTTGTGAGCTGCTTTCGAATTTACATAAGCCACTACTTCCCTCGACAAAAGTATGAGGTAGTCCTATCGTCCGATCGTACGGTAGGAGAATTAAAAATAATTATTTAGTGTTATTAAATATCCTATAAATACTTTTAAACAATTTAATTTGTTCATTTATCTTCGCTGGTAACCCTCGATGTTAGGCCGGATGGCCGAGTGGTCAAGGTGACAGCCTACCGCTCTGGGGGACCAAGGATCGAATCCGGGGGGGTGGTCCGTCCCTCACCACCCGGTCGCCCCATTGTGAGCCTAACCGAACCCATAATGTGCCTGCTATAACAGGTCCACTTAGTGTACACGGCGGAAGGAGTAAAAAAAAACCTCGTTGTTAAAGTTATCCGCCATTTTTCAACAAATTTCCCGTGGGTCAATGCGCGACGTTCACTGAGTCACGTGATGTTGTGAACGAGCGCCAAAACGTATTTTACTTGGACTTAGAACGTCAAACGTGTATTTCTGCTTGCCGTACAAGTTTCCTGGTAGTTTTTTTTTATATCTACTCTTTCCGCCCTGTGAGCACTAAGAGGGCTTCGAACGGACCACCCCCCGAAGAATTCCTGGGGATTCCTTGACCCGTCTGGATTCGATCTCGGGTTCCCTAGTGCGGTAGGCTGGCACCTTGACCGCTCGGCCATCCCGACGTCCCTGGTAGCGCTTATGAGGAGCCAGGCTGCACATTGTGCTAATAAATAATAATAATAATAAATAATGCCGTACAAGTTTAACGTTTGTACTTGCGCCTCAACCTCTCTATTATATCGATAAAAATTGTACGGAAGTAACAAAACTGTTCCGAGAGCCTAGTTTGATATTTTGTTGTGGTTTTTACATTTCGTTCTATAGAAATTACAGAATATGATTACAGATGAAATGTATTTATTACTAAAATACTTTAAAATACTAAGAGTAGTTTTCTACATGTATAAAAATAGTATCTGCACGATGAAATGACTACTACAAATAATAAGCTGGCCGATAATAGGATGATAACACTTTTGAAATAACTCGAGATGTAAAAAAGAAATATTGCTNATGGAAAATATAGAAATGTTTATATATAGTATAAATTTATTGTAGTGTTACTAATTTGTGTAATAATTTTTATGTAAGAAATGTTAATACTGTACTACTTTTTTCCACTCAAGGATATTATATCTTGATTAGATTTATTTGGGAAAATAAGAAAAAACATAGATAAATTTTATTATTATTTTTAGATGCCAGGAACAATATGAGCTGTTTCAACTTGTAATAACAGTTATCATAAAACAAATTTATTAAACAGGAAAGTTATGATTCTGAGAAAAATTTAAAAGCTGAATTTTTGGGTTTATTGGCAAAACCAAAACAAAAGAAAATTTACTACCGACAGTAAATTTAGGAAATACAGAAAATGAAAATATTAATCAGTCAAATCAAAGAAAGAACAGTTTATTAAAAAGAAATAGAAAAAACTGATAGAAAAACTTTAAGATGTAAATAAACAGGATAAATCAGAAGAATCTCTTAAATGTAATGATTGTAAAACTTTAGATCTTAATTTTAAATTAAAACATGAAACCGTAAAATCGTTTCACGTATAACGTCATTAATTAAACAAACAATTGACTTTCTAGATGTTATATACCTGTATGTAAAACAACGTTTATGGATTAAATTGAAATTTTTAAATAATTTAATTAAATACAATCGTTCCTTTGCCAAAAGAAAAGTAAATTGTAATAACAATAGAAATTTAAAAAAAGTTTGTACCTGATTTCTTTTAATTCTGTTTCTATGTAACACTTAATTTGTATATATTGATATTAAAAATATGCTTATAAAATAGAAAATTGTTCTTTTGACAAAGTTATTTTTGTATATGTATGAGTAAATAATATCGTTTTCGGTACACGAGTATTAAAAATTAAAAAATAGATCAATATAATTTTTGGTTTTAAAAAAGAAGTCATTTGACGATATAAATTAAATTAATTTACTTATATATAAATCACTTACGTAGAATTTACCAAAATTAATATTGTAAGAAACTATTGTTGTTATAATATCATAAAATAGATAAAATCGATTTCATTTACATAGTAGAAAAACGCATTTTAATTTCAACTTTACACGTATAAATTACGAAGATTTCCTCAATATTCCAAATTTTTCTTATTTATTTATTTATTTCTTCTCATTTTTATTCATATTTAATTAAGTATGAATCGTAATTAATCAAATATTAGCGTGTAATTAAAGCGACAAGCCTCTGATCTGTAATGTTTTTACCATAACGTAGTAAGATGTTTTGTTTTGGACTACGAGTGACGTCAAATAAGCAACCAATGAGAAGAGTCTCTTCTCTATGAGGTAATCTTACCTTCTACGATCTTGTTCCTCGGCAGCCCTCCGTTACCAGTTCAAATTGGACAATCATTGCTCAATTTTGCGTTAATACTTAACACCAGTTTAACAGAGCGGCCGGATGGCCGAGCGGTCAAGGTGGAGCCTACCGCTCTGGTGGACCCGGGTTCGAATCCGAACGGGTCAAAAAATCCCCGTCCGAAAATGGTTCGTTCAGATATGTCGGGCTCCGTTCCTCACCACCCGGCAGCCCCAATGTGGCCTGGCCGAACCCATAATGGGCTTGCAAAAAGAGGCCCTCTTAGTGCCCACAGAGCGAAAAGAGTTAAAAAAAAAAATACCAGTTTAACAGTCTTAATAATTTAAGTCGCAAGTTGACAAAAGGACAATAAGGCAATAATAATTGGACAATCATGTCATTACCAGAGTTGTTAGATATGGCCACTTTGCGCCAAATTTGGCTACCCTTTTTTTTTTTTAGTTTGGAGTAAAAAAATATCATTTGGCGCATTGGGTACGTTTTGGACTACATAAATTTGACTCCGCTACATTTTCGCTACATATTATTTGAATAAAAATGGTCTTTAAAATGGTGTTTCATAGTTTTTTATTAATTAAAGACCCAAATAAAACAAATATTTGTGTTTTTCAAATAAATTTTTCTCCTTTATAATAAATGAATTTATCTATTTGTAAGTAAAAATTGAAGGTACCTGTAGAAGTAATTTTTTTAAATATCCTTTTTCGTGNTTACCATAACGTAGTAAGATGTTTTGTTTTGGACTACGAGTGACGTCAAATAAGCAACCAATGAGAAGAGTCTCTTCTCTATGAGGTAATCTTACCTTCTACGATCTTGTTCCTCGGCAGCCCTCCGTTACCAGTTCAAATTGGACAATCATTGCTCAATTTTGCGTTAATACTTAACACCAGTTTAACAGAGCGGCCGGATGGCCGAGCGGTCAAGGTGGAGCCTACCGCTCTGGTGGACCCGGGTTCGAATCCGAACGGGTCAAAAAATCCCCGTCCGAAAATGGTTCGTTCAGATATGTCGGGCTCCGTTCCTCACCACCCGGCAGCCCCAATGTGGCCTGGCCGAACCCATAATGGGCTTGCAAAAAGAGGCCCTCTTAGTGCCCACAGAGCGAAAAGAGTTAAAAAAAAAAATACCAGTTTAACAGTCTTAATAATTTAAGTCGCAAGTTGACAAAAGGACAATAAGGCAATAATAATTGGACAATCATGTCATTACCAGAGTTGTTAGATATGGCCACTTTGCGCCAAATTTGGCTACCCTTTTTTTTTTTTAGTTTGGAGTAAAAAAATATCATTTGGCGCATTGGGTACGTTTTGGACTACATAAATTTGACTCCGCTACATTTTCGCTACATATTATTTGAATAAAAATGGTCTTTAAAATGGTGTTTCATAGTTTTTTATTAATTAAAGACCCAAATAAAACAAATATTTGTGTTTTTCAAATAAATTTTTCTCCTTTATAATAAATGAATTTATCTATTTGTAAGTAAAAATTGAAGGTACCTGTAGAAGTAATTTTTTTAAATATCCTTTTTCGTGACGCTGTTTTAATATTTATTACTATAATCTAGACATGTTAATCGTTAA